GGGAAGAAAAGAAAATTGGGGAAAAAGAATGGAAAAGAGGGGAATTTCGCCATAAGCCACAAAATAATTATTTATTCATCAACTATCAATTACATGGCGAAAGAGATTTAAATAACAAAGAAAACCCTAAGAGAGAGGGCTAAGCCCATTACACAAATCCATAAAAGTAACTCAACTAAAATAAACAAAACAACAGTCCAACTAAAATGAAATAAATGAACTGGATGTCACTAAAATAAATAAACTAGATGTCCTCATCAACTCTCTTGGGGCGGGAGAAAACTCGACCCTATCGAGTGGATATATCAATATAAGTTGCAGTCAATCTCCCAATCATAAGCTGGGTGGTTGGGCAAGCTTCTTTCGGCGTCTGTAAAAATGTGTCAATGGAGGTCTGAATCTGGTGTCCTCACCAATAACATCAATCGTTTCAACACCTCCAGCACTTACAATATCCTTCTGAATTTTTGGTGATGTTAGTTTGTAATTTTTTGGAGCATTTTTCGAAGTGATAGCTTTAATCCTTTCATTATGATCACAGCTAGAAACTTCAACTGTTCAAGAAAGTTACCTTGATTATTTGACTCTTCACACTTGTTGTGCATGTGGCTTATATAGAGTGGAACATAGGTCTTGGATCAAATGGGCCGATGTCGGCGCGGAGCGGAGCGACGGCATCGATCTTGCGCAGGTTTAATTCACTGTCTGGTTGTTAGGGATGCTGAATAGGTTGAGTGTTGCCCCCGCGGTACGGTACATGGGTATTTCCTGTACGAGCCTTAAAGTTTTATATGAGCCCAGGCTAGTGTTAGTATAAATAATATATTGTAACCCTATTTTTCACTATTGAATAAAGATATTTCTGCTTCGCTCTCATGGACCTGCACACCGCCGAACCACGTAAATTTTTGTGTTGATTTTCTTTTCCATCTCTTTAATATTGCGCATAAAATTCCAACAACACTCATCATGACCACGAAAAGCTAGTCCTTGATGTAAAAGAAGTCGTATACAATCAATTGATGCATTCAAACGAATTTGATATGCACTCCGTGCTCGTTTTGGTTGCTTGAATAAAACTGTCTCAATATGTTGCTCTTGATTCATCAAGGCTTCACAGTTTCTTCAGGCTTGATTGTGTGCACTATGGACATCTCCAACATGAACTCCAAGTCTATCCTTCTTTTTAAAATTATGGAGCCCCTTTTTTACAAAAGCATCACCACTTCTTTATTCCCTATTGTTTGGTCTAAAAAGATAACAGTATAAGCAAAATGAAGCATTTTTACTTATACTATATTCTAACCAATCAGGATATTCATTGAACCAAGTAGGAATGAATGGCCTTGATTTTTTACGTGGAAACACGTGACTCCGAGGTTGACACGGACGTCTCTGCAAGTATGCTCCTCTTATTTGATGTCGAAGATTAACATTGTAATCCAATATTGGAGTTCTTAATTTGGGATCCGTGGGAAGTTGTGCAATTTCAATATGCTCAATACTTGCTTTCTTTACCTCATCATTTTCTTAAAAATTAGTGTCATCAATACTTGCTTCTTTTGCTTCATCATTTTCTCCAACAGTAGTATCCTTACCACTGGCTTCCTTTGCTTCGACATTTTCTTGAATAGAAATTTCCTCAATGCATTGTTTCTTTGCCTCGACATTTTCTTCAGTAGATATTTGAGATACCCTTTTAAAATATCTCAACATATCTTCCTATCCTACAAGCCAAACAATGCTTGCATAAATATACCAACGGTGAAATGGAAATTTAAGAGATGAACTCCGAATCTAAAATTGATGAACTAAAATGACCTTGATCTCAAAAATAAGTGAGTTTCTCGAGTAATATAAATGAAATACAAATACTCAGATTGATACTTGGATATCAAATATAAGTAACTAAAACCCAAGAGACCTAAATCCTAATGTGAAAAAATTTTACAGGTTCCGGTAAAAATATGTAAAAAGGGTAACAATCGACATTTGAGAATCCAGGTCCAACAACTGAACCACTACAATCCAAATTCAAGACATTTTCAATTCCGTCCCTGATCCAAATTCCTAGACAGGAAACTCAGGAAGTAATTAAGTAAATCTAAGTTATCTAACAATTTACAATTCAAGACATTTTCAATTCATATTGCTGAAATATCAATTCATTTCATTCACTGACACTGATTCACGGCTTCATATATTTTTTTAATCCAACCACAATATCTAAACTTGCTATTTGCATAAATAACTATATAAAACATAAATAATAGGATTAAGACAGAGAAATTGATTACCAAATTTTGTTTCTTCAATCTATTCGCACTGCACCGTCCGTCCTCCATCACACTCGCGCACTCTCGCTTCCTCACACTGGTTCTGGTTTATAGGGTTTGGGAATTATGGATCTTATTTTCAATGTTAAAAACTTAAAAGATTGTTGGTCTTGGGTTAAAAATCATGGGCTTCTATTAATCTATTGTATGGGCTTTTTTGAATGTCAAGAAAATTTAGTGTCCAATGGGGGCAATTAATAGGTCCGCCCCTGGATGAAAGCTATTATTGTTCCATCAATTGGGAGCTAATCTGGGATAGTTTTAGTTGAAAGAACTTTGATGAAGAAAAGTCAAATGATTACAATCCTAATAGCAGGTGTCGTAATTTCTGTCAAGGCAAACAAACTTGATTTGACTAGATATATGGTTGAAAGGATTTATGATTAGGCCAAACAGGTTGCAGCCCTTCTCCTGACAGTTATCTGTCTATGAGGCCAACTTGTGTTAGAGAGGCTGCCATGGTATAAAATCCCAAACCAGAAGCAAATATAGAAGCCAACTTTAATAATCCCAAAACATGCTCGTTTCACTCGTGCCCAATTTTTTTTAAGTACAGGCTTCTAAAAAATACCCGATCTCTAGTGGTAAATAAATGGACTTGAATTTGAAAACCTAAAAGTCCACCACTGAAACCGATTAAAATTAAGGTGAAAGCCTCGAAAGGCATGCATCTAATGTCCAAGATGCGTAAGCCTCTGGTTGTCAAGGGTACGCCTCACCTCAAAGACTGCAAGGCGTAAGCCTCACACACCTTCGGAAACAATGGATCCATGTTGACATGAAATTGTGAAGTGCAACCATAATGAGTCTTGGGTATATACTTGGAATAGCATGTTGCCACTAACCGTTACTCCTATTTACCAAGCAATGGACAATTCCCCTTTTTAACATGGCAATTCAATTTAGCAGGTGGATTTAGAGATGAGAGAAATTGGTTGGATTGCTAAATTCCCTTGCATCTGTACGCATAAATTTGGACCATCTGTGATGACAATGTGTACAGCGTAGTGGGACCCACAATATAATGTGCCTGCATGCTCACACAAATGGTTTAATCCACGCTCTTGCAAAGCTTGAATGTGTTTAGCATTTCTCAACAGAAAGTTGCGAGAATTTGAGGCTTGTTTGTCAAAAAAATTTAAAAGCTTTTCCTAAGATCATTTATGTAATTAGAATGGGGAAAATGTGGCAAATTTATAAGGCAATCATTGACTATTAGAACTGTATAGGTGACTGCAGTAGCTTTGATGTAAGGACTAAGGATATAGAGAATATAGTTGTTGAGTAAACACAAATGCGAGATTATGGGATGTAATTATAGCCTATAGTGAAATAAGTTCCCACCAAAGCTCAATGCGGAGAGGTAGGGATGGAAAATATAATCATGCCCTAATCAATTGCAAATAATGGCACTTGTCATTTTTAATGCAAAGGAACCGTTAATGCACTTATCTACGTTACAAAACTCGTCTTTGGTAATATTTTATGTTTGTGTCTAGAGTAAGAAACATTCTCTCTTTTGAGATGAGGATTATTTCCCTGCTATTAGATGAGAGTCCCTTGTAGAGGGGTGTATTAACACTGAAATTCGAACATTGAAAACAGAGAACAAAATAGTATTTGAACACTTCAAGTATCTAAATTTTAAGTACTGGAATTTAAGCTTGCAATTTATAAATTTAAAGCATTGTAACGATTAATATTTTAAATAATTATGCAAAGCTTAAGAGTGAATGCAAAGTTTTTCAATTTCAATTAAAAGCTGATAATAAACTTAAATAAATAGAAGACGAAACATGTAGCATCAACCAAACAGAAATTTGAAAAGGCATCAGCAAGTGTGTTGCCGACTATAGCTTTGGTTAAGCTCAAGCTCCTAAGGTTTCATTTATGACACCTTTTGTTTGATTATTTTTATGTATGTGTATGAATATATATGTACTGTAATAGTTGCAAGTATGAAACCAATATAAAACAAGAAATTATTTAAATAGAAGCGATAAATCCTCTTACTCTGCCTGAACAAATACTAATCTCATAAACCATAGTGCTGCTGACTGAATGCAGAAACACATGCAGCTGAAAAATCCTTCTTTGCAAACATTGATTAATATTCAAAATAAAGTATGGGGAACAAATTCCAACAATATATTTCTCCATCGAGGAAGAAAAACCCTAGATTATAAATTCATACATGGCTCACTCCTCTCAAAGAATGGCATGCAACAGTATTTGCTTTGTTAAAAATAGAGCTCTCTCTGTCTGGCAGTTTTCCCCTGTTATGTCTGAAACTCGAATTCTTCACTGGATTTAAATTGCAGCTGAGCTGAACGCGATGCAGAGATTAGACAAACTGTTCTTTAGATATTATGTGCAACTTTATAGGTTTGCATATTAGGTTTCAAAAGAGCAAATTGACCGTCAGCATTTTATATTATCAGATTAAGTTTTGTTTCTTCTGCTGGAATATTCATGCATAGTTTTGGAAGGTCTGATTATTTTAGATGCACCAGAATATTGTTAACAAACAATTCAAATATAATAAGCTCAAAAATAGTTTTTAGCTTTTAGGACTTTAATGTGATTATTGAAATCTCTATAGCTTAACACCTCATGTTTATCCCCTGGCATGAAGATTTAACCCTTTTTGGGTCATGATTACAGTATAGGCAGATGAGACGGAAAGAACAAGATCGGCTTGCCAGGATGGATGCTGATTACCAGAAAAGGAAAGAAATTACAGAATTCATTCGGAGAAGGGAAGAAAGATTAAAAGCTGCAGAGGAGCGCACAGCAAAAAAGCGTTTGAAACGGCAGAAAAAGAAACAGAAGAAGCAAGAGAAGAAGTGCAAATTGAATGCTGTCGAAGAAGAGCATAAGAAGGAACAATCTTCCGATGAAGATGGAGACACGGAAAATGATGAAACTGAGAGATGATTTATATGTACCATTATGCTCAAGGGTAGCCTTGCTGTATCAATTGTTGTGACAAGTTTTTGACAACCGTTTTGCTGAAAAAAATAGGTGCTCCACAAAAAAAAAAATGAATTGTTTCTTAACTTAAAAGAAAAATTGTCTTCTGCATTCATTTGCACCATCCCATTGGTTATAGGTGGATCCACAAAAAAAAAATGACTTGTTTCTTAACCTAAAATGAAAATTTGTCTTTTGTTTTCATATGCACCATCCTATTGGTTAGATTGAATGGCATCACAAGAAATTGACAATTGATGCGATGTAACACTGGATAGATCATGTCACTCGATATTGATCACCACTTGATTTGAAAGCCCACCCACTCTTTTGCACCTATTGGACACTCTTTTGCGCCTATTGGATCACGTCATCTCCAGCGCTGTAAAATTTATACCAAATGAATAGTGGTTAATCATTTTCTTCCTTTTTTATATTCTTAGTAATTTATTTACTTGAAAATATTATTTATTTAATCATTTTATAAATACGTAAATTACTAAGGCCCTATTTGAGCTCCATTATTTTTTCATTAAAATGAAAAATATGATCGTTATTTATCACATTAAGTTATTATATTTGACTTTTTATTTCTTGTGTGGGGCCTATAACGACTATATTTTTCATTCTCATTTTTACAATAATGTGGTTCAAACGGGGGCTAAATAAATAATTACGTTAAATTATGTAAAATATTAAATTCATTAATAAATATAAAAAAATAGTACAATTAATAAAAACACCGCAACAACGAAAATATTAAATCATTTCATCAACAAATGTATTTTCGTCGTTTAATATATTTCGTATTAATTAGCGCTGCATAAATCTCTCGAATCGAACTCGATGGTTCTTGTCAAATAAATACCCGAACGGGTATCTGAATTGAGAACCGACGGGTACGGTTCGATTCTCGTTCTAGACCAAGAACCGAAGAGCTGAATAAATTAAATTATTTTAATTTTAATTTTTTTCTAAACAAATTAACAATTTCTAAATCCAAATTTTTTGCTCAAAAATTTGTTTCATTTCTAATTTTTTAATTTTTGGCTTAATTACCCATTTTATTGTTTCATTTTTTAACCCAACATCATCCAACCCACTAAATAATCTTAAACACCATAACGTTGTCTCGACTCTCGCACTCATTCTCCCAGCCTCACTGACATTCCAAAACCTATACAATCGTCGACTGAAGCTGTGACCACCGACTGAAGCTGTAACCTCCGCCAATCGAAGCTATGACCGCAGCGATCATTTGAACAAAGTAGTCTACTGGTCTCTGACATTCCTAAACCATTGCAGTTATTTAGAGCTTGGATTCAAGGGGTTAAATGTTCATGTGATTTTAATGAGTTATTTAGCGCTAGAGAATTTGTATTTGCTTTCTGTTGAATTCTGCTTGAGAGACTTGCAGTTGAAGATTTTGTTGAAGAATTTGTATATGGTTTCTGACTTTTGGTTGAATTCTATTTGAGAGACTCGAGAAGAAAATCAGAGGATGGCCTATCCAGCATAGTATAACTCAAGAAGGAAATTAGGCCGCAATTGTCTCAATTCCTTTCTGCCTCAAAATTAGTTTCCGGAAAGGAAGTCAAGTGTATGAGTCTATGACTATTGTTGTCAAGACTATAGCCAAACATGTTTTCATCCGTGTCTGCCTTGAAAGGTCTACCTTAGACTATTACTATCCAATGTCCACTACATGTGGGATTGAACTCAACTTCCATGTTGAATTTAAATATTGCATTTTCTCCCCAATTCCTACGCCTTTCTTTTTCCATGTTATCAAGTCGTCTATAGTGGAATCATGTTAATAAGATTGGTTTTGGTAGGTTTGTATGCAACATCTAAATTGGAGAAATAGCCAGTTAATCATGTTAATATGATCAGTTAGCAGTTAGCTTATGCTCTTTAAGGGTTTTCCAGAATGTTTTACTGGTTTCTTTCTGTTCAATTGGTGCAACTATCATTTGTTAGTGTTTGATGATTTTGTTCCACATTGTTTGTGCAGGATTTAATAAAGTTTCTTGTTAAGGTGATATCAATTCTGGATGCTTAAATGGGAGACAAAAAACAGCCTAATGAGAGGTCAGAATTATTTCACTAAAAACAGCATATGAGGACATTAAGACAAGTAATAAAATATATGTTATATATATATATATATATATATATATTTTTATAAAATCTTATTAGTTGAACAAATTTGAATTTATTTATGTTTATTAATAACTTAATTGTGCTTTTTCAATTTTTTCTTGCAGAGTTTCTTAATAGTGAGTATGGAAAGTCAAGCAATTGATGGATAGTTGAAGTTTTAGTATTAGTATCTATTATTTGGTATTTCTAAATTGTAAGTATTGGTAAATTAATCTTACTGGACAACTTGTTATTTACATGTTATTAAATTTAACTATGTTAATTTGTAAAACTACGATTGAATGCGTCATTAGTTGTATTTATATAGTGTTGTTATAAATGTTAAAAAATTTAATTATAGTACGGAACCGAATGGAACCGAACGATTCCATAATTATGTTTGGACCCTACGGTTCCATTTACTAAATATCCGAAAATTTTGGTTCGATTTGGTTCTCTTTAGAACCGAATTGACCTACGCCCATCTCCAGCGTTAACTTTAAGATATAATCGTGTTTGTTATATTTTAATTTTCTTTCTTCTTTTAATTAATTCATTAATTATTATTTTTACATTTAAAATTTATTTTAATGCAAATAATAATAATAATTTATTGTATTAAAAAATATATAACACAAATAACACAATTTTTTTAATCAATTTATTTGGAAAAGGATAAGAAAGGGTAAAAAAGACTTTAAACACTTTGCACCAAAATAGTATAATTTAATGCAACACTATTCATTTATAGCGTTGCATTGGAGTTTTTTTACAACAAAAAATAGTGCATTTTGGTGTTTTGGATCCCACATTGGAGATTGAGTCACTTATCTCTATACACACTCTTTTCCACCTACTGGAAGTCAATAAAAGTCTAAAAAACAAAATTTGCAAATAAATATAAATGGAGGGCATTACAAAAGACTCACTTGTATTTTAGCCACATGTTTGGCAATCTTTAAAAATTTAAATTTTTTGTTAGAATATCATTCTTCACCACACATTGATACAATAAAATATTGTACACATAAATAAATAAATTTTTCTTAATTTTTAATCACATATTTTTCAAAAATAATATTCAGAACTCTTTAATTTTTTAAATAATGAGTGTCAAACATGGCTTTAATAGCAAACATAACCAAATTCAATGGAATGTGTTGATATATTGTGCACGTTAGCCTCTCATGTTGCTTCTTTAACTTTCGAGTGTTAGAACTTTTACTTCACTATTCATTATAACCTTACATCACCACTATTTCTTCGTCAGATTCTCGTCTTTCTCATTTTCCAGTACATATTCAACTTCGGTTTCTTCTCATTTTCTTGTGAGTTTTACCATTGTAGCTTGAATTTGGGAATTTCATCATATAAAACAAAAGCAAATAAAATAACATCACCAACTCAAAACTGTAAAAAATAAAAAACAATTGACTAAAATAAATATTAAATTGCACAGTTAATTCTAAAATAGAGTCTATAGAGAGACGTTTCGACCGTGAGCAATGGAGATTCATCACCAACTCTGTTTCCTGCGTTACATTTTTATTAGTCTTTATGATTAGCCTGGTTTTCTTACAAATTCTAGTTTCCATTTGAATCCGATAAACAAGAATTGCTATTTTTAAGTCCATTAATGGAGCTTCCCAATTCTACCCAAAAAAATGATACCCAACCCCAATCCACAAGACAAATCTTCATCCTATCAGGCCAAAGCAACATGGCGGGCCGCGGCGGAGTCGACAAACAGAAAAAATGGGACGGTGTTGTTCCGCCGGAGTGCTCTCCTGACCCTTCCAAAATTCACCGCCTCAACGCTAACCTCCAGTGGGAGCCAGCAGCTGAACCCCTCCACTACGACATCGATTGCAAGAAAACGTGCGGAGTGGGGCCCGGGATGTCGTTCGCAAACGCGGTGAAGGAGCGCCTGGGAATCATCGGCCTGGTGCCGTGTGCTGTAGGTGGGACCGCGATCAAGGAGTGGGAGCGTGGAGCCCTACTGTACGAGAACATGGTGAAGAGGGCTGCAGCCGCAGTGCAGGGTGGCTCCGGTGAAATTAGGGCAATGTTGTGGTATCAGGGGGAGAGTGATGCATTAAATCAGCATGATGCGGACAGTTATAAGGAGAATATGGAGGCACTTATTCATAACGTGCGTGCTGATCTGAATTTGCCTTCTCTTCCGGTGATTCAGGTCAGTTGGTTATGTTTTTCTGATCAAAATTAATGAGTAACTAAGCAGAAAATTGATAATTTTATATTCAATAAATCAAAATTAGTAGAGAATAGCAATGCCTATGAATAAGCATGACTCAATAATCCGTACTTGTGTTCCTAATTAGAGGAATATTATCTTAAAGCTTAGCTGGAGCCCAGAGTCAATAAGGTAGAAAAGCAACACACAAAAAATCTATCCATATCTGGCATGCTATTAAGGCTTGCGGTTCTTGCAAGAAGGTGGGTCGTTTGAGAACATTAATCCTTGAATCTGAAAGCTCGTTTGAACATTTAGATAGTTCGAATGGCTCGTCTGGGCATTATGGTATCTGATATAGTATTAAGATTTGAGGTCCTATCTTAAAATGTCTATATTATCGTTGAGGAGACCAGCTCAAATCCATATGTGGGATTTATGCCTTAATATTGCAGCAATAGAAAGGATGGTACAATATAATGAGAAAGATTCCAACTTGCCCCCTATAATTTGGAGCTATCCAATTCTCCCTATCAAATGTGCCATCTTATAATCCCATACATCATGACATGTAATTGGACTTTGATTAGGGTTATGGCAATCTGGGCTGGTACTTGTACTGAATGTATCAGTCTTTGCATGTCTCATTTCAATTTTTCTCACACAAAATAATTTTCTTGCTCTCAATTGTGTATATACATTTGCTTTCATACTGTCTTCCTTTCTCATCAGTTTCCTTTGGTTCAAATAGATCTAGCTTCAAATTCAACCAATCCGAGCCTTTTAGTTCTCGTTTCCTAATTAGTTGTCTTACTAATTGTTCTCTTTATTTGATACAAATATAATCAAATGTTGATTTTTTGGTCCTCTTCCCCTAGAGACAGGGGGCTCAATGGAAGGATGAATAGCACCAATCTTTAGAGAGCATGTTAGGATGTTCGTTGAGGTTAAACATAGTAACTCATTCTACTATTCTCAATGTTTTGGTTTTTATATTACTTGGTTTAGGTTTACGAAGTCCCAACCAATCCCGAACATACTTGAATTACTGTACACAGTTTTAACAAATCACATAATAAGCTCATGTTTGGTTTAACTAAAAAAAATGATAAAAATTTAAATCGAAGTTAATAATTAATTCTAGAGAAAAATGCATAATTACAAAGGTTAAAAGCCACACTTTGAAAAATAAGAAACTTGTGAAGAAGTTTCAAAAATCTGGTGGCCGGCGCTGCTTATGCGGTGGCAGCAGCAGGCAGCAATTGTGGTAGTGTGGGTGTGATTGTGACTTGGAGGAATGGGGAAACGAATGAATTAGGGTTTGATAATTAGCGAAATCAAACAGGGGCTCAGTGAGTGTAAAATGCACAGTAGCAAACATAAAACAAGAAAAGTCACCTTCCCCCTACACAGTAAGACAAGCACACGTTTCCTATGTCTTACATTACACCTAAATGTTTGGTTTTTCAAGTTTTTCAGGTCTAAATTTCCAACACATTTCTGGTTTTGTGACGACTTTGTTGCATTCTACGTCATTAAGTTAGATCTCGACTCGTGACTTGTGAGCTTGTGAACACTATGGGAACCTTCCCCGTGCATATATAACTTGTTCTAAATAAATATTTACTTCTTTACACTCATTTCAGCTCCATTTCCATGATATATGCAGTTTTGTCGTTTATATTACAAAACATATCATTGTGTTGTACATACTATTGGGTACCCCTCCCCAATCCACCCCGAAATGTCTACGTGAATCGAGTGTGCAGTGGCCTATGTATTTCTTTTGCTTAGTATGCTGAGTATTATCATGTTACAGGTTGCAATTGGACTAGTAAAAGGCGAATTCGTGGAGAAAATTAGAGAAATTCAGAAGGGGATTGACCTCCCTAATGTTGTATGTGTGGATGCTATTGGATTGAAGCTCAAGGAAGATAACCTTCACCTGACTACAGAGGCCCAGGCTCAACTCGGCCGCATGCTGGCTGATGCGTATCTTGCCCATTTCTGGCCATAGCCTTCTTCATCCGCTCATGCTTGATCAATATTTCTTACTCTCTTTCGTTTTCTATTTTGTTTCCATTATCGGGGTGTGAATTAACGATTTTTTTTTTTTTTAATCATTATTCGGTTTGTTATGTTCATTGAGCTGGGATGTATAATGAAAATTTCATAACTATGGTGGTTTAAGAACTCAATATCAAAATTAATAAAATCTTGTTAAATACTTTCGAAAGTCAGGTGATAATGGATGATCGTAATTTATAAATTGTGTAATTGTAATTTAATCTATACGTGACATGTCAGTTACATTAACGAGACCACATGATTTCTGAATAATAATAATAATAATAATAATAATAATAATAATAATAATAATAATAATAATAATGCTTGATTAACAAAATTAAAAAATTAAAAAACCACATTTTATTTCACGCAATTTTCATTTAAACAAATACATATTAATTAATAATAATTTCATATTAACTTGTTTGACAATCATTAAAACAAAATTCTCTTTTTCTCACTCTCATTTTTAACTGCGCATTCTCACAATAAAATATTTTGTATGCAAATCAACAACTTTTCTCCACCTTCTAAAAACACATTTTTCAAAAAATTATTATTCCAAGCCCATTTTTCTTTAAATCTCTTTTTTAATGGTTGTTAAATAGGGGCTAAATTATAAGCATATAAGGATGAAATAGAAAATAAATCAGAATTTGAAGCATTAATTGGTTTGAGCTGGACTAGCTATAGAATTCTTGGGCTCTATAGTACCTTCTTGTGTCTGGACAATTGGATTTGAAATTTTTAAATTAATAATTTCTTGTTCTAATTCAGAAATTTTCTTTTGTAAAACTAAT